GAATACCTGGCGCCTTTGCTTCTCCAGTGCTCTTTAAGGGCTGTGAGAGCTTTGTTGCCACAGTATCAGTGACTCAACACAAAACACTTCTACAAGAAAGCATAACATATTTTTTCTCCTTTCTTCCTTTCTTTTTTCATTTTTCTTTTATTAATCCCACTGTTTCATTGTGAAAGTCACATTCCCAACATGCCTCTTTTAGGATGCAAGGTCAAGTCTGTCTGCCAGACACCTGCAGTCCTCTGCAGAGCTGTGGGGAATTGTGCTTTAAAGGGGGTTCTGGCTCTTCAGGCCTTTTCACCARCTCCAGCATGTGTTATCTACACTGTTGATGTGAGAAATTACTCAGAACTGAGATGATGGCAGTGCTTAGACATACTAAGCAAATGGGACATTTGCCAAGATGTTAAGAGGTCACAGACTGGCAGTTGAGAGATAAGAGTACCTATCAGCTCATACTTCCCAGATGAAGAAATAGGGCTCGGGAAGGTTTCATCGCTGCCTTTAATGCTGTGCACTTGAAGGAAAGCAGCTAATTAAATCTCTCAGCTGGTGAAGTGGAATTTGCTGCAAAAGCCGCGTTGTAGTTCCATAAAAAAAAAAATGTCCTTTGAAAAGACCTAATATTTTAGAATTTGCCATTTCTAAACCCTTCCTTTGTGTCCTTTGGTCTCAAATGCTTGTTTCACTAAATGTGTTCAAATAAAAACACTCCTGGACATCTCTCAGCTGTTGCTGGGAAATTTCAAGGATTCTCTTTGGAGGAAAGCTGTTGGACTAGGACAGCATTAGAGCCAGGGTTCYCCAGAAAGCAGCAGAGTCCCCAGCACACCTTGTGTATCACAGAACATTGCAAACAGGGTATCATGAGCCTATTCCTCACATCTCACATTAATCTGCTTTCATGGTCATTCTGCAGTGCCACTGCGAAAGACAGCAAAGGTTATTTGTTGTTCTCTCAACACTGTWCTATTATTTTCTTTCATGAAGAAACACCTCCTTAAACCAACACTTTCAGAAGCACTTGATCTTTCTAAGAGCTGTACATATACCAGGAGGCAATCCTTGGCCTAATTGATCTGTGTGTAGAAATTTCTCCTCCCTTTGAAGTACGAGGTGCGAAAAAATCCCACACTGTATT